ATGCAACGAAGATTGTGTTTTTCTATTAATTTACTTCTGTTATTAGCCTCGTGCCAGTCAATCCAAAAGGCCTGATGGTCGTGGCAACCCCGGCAAATAATGTGTTAGCCATGAAAATTCCGAGGAACAGCAGGCCGAACGAATAAGAATATTCAACTATCATGCGGGAGACTCAAGTTCGAATCCCCAGTAAGACTGGGGCTTCTTTTTTTATCCAGACGCTAAAATAAAATCCGTTTACCTCACGCTCTAAAGGTCGTGGGTTCGTTTTTCGGACGCGTCTTTCAGTTTACGATTGGTTTTTACGGAGATCACTGGGGATCGTCGTTAGAGCTACGAAAATCGTGCTTTGTGCCAGGCTCTCAGCAAACTGTTAGCAGTTTTGCCGAGAAAGACCGAGCCACATGGGATAACCAGGTGTGATGATGTAGATCCTCTTGACTTTGTAACCTTGTGGATACTCTGTCCGTTAAAATGATCCCAGATACCATATTCGGAAAAAAAAAAACAAAGCCGTCTGCTGTCAGATGTATGTCAAAGGCCATATATTGAGGAAACCGTAGGAAGCTAGCAGATCTCTTCCGTGAACGTCTTGCTGAAATCCGTAATAAGCTCTCAAGCCTATCTTCCCCTATCTCAGCAGTTCTGACCACTAAGGCGAAACACGATCTCAGTCACTGCTATTAAATCTTGTTCCGGTGAACAAAGCAGCCACTAATCATTACTAAATCGTTTCATCAATAGTTTTGGTGTTTTTAGTCCTGGAGGGATTAATAGTCAACACAGCTTTACTTAAATTACCTTATTTACTTGTTCATTTATTTACCTTATTCATATTTCTCCCTCTCTTTTTACGTTCGTCTTCTTACTTATTTCATTTCGTATCATAGCCTTACATATTCATATTGCCCCCCTCCCCCCTCCCCCAGCGATTACGTACTTCTTGGTTCACGTTGACCTTGGGTTTTTATTAGCTCTGTTGTCTTGTCTGTTGAGTTTTCTAGTCACAGTGTGTGATGTATTTAGTACTCCTTTGATAAAGACGTGATCGAAACCTTTGTTTGTGTGCGTCTTTTCCATTCCTTCCGTTGAGCTTTGTGGTCGCATTCTGTGTTATATTTAGCGTTACTGTAAGAGTCCTATAAATCCAACCGGGTATCTTGGAATTACAAATTTCGTACGCAACGCCTATGCTACAGATCAACCAGCTGCTGTCTCCCCAATACAAGTTGTCTGCAACGGATCTCCGGCACTTTCTCTCTTTCGCTCAGAATGCCCTTTTTGACATACTGCTGTTTCTTCATCTCTGGGTGTTCCACCTGTATCGATCCCTAACTCTTGTTTGAATGTGTTCAGCCTTCTCCTCGCAGTAGCCGGCTAAACAGGAAGCTATGAACCTATTTAAATACAGTGAAAAGAAAGAAAGTGCAATGGTACGGACATGTAAAAAGATCTTTTTGTGTGTTTTAGTTCCCAGAAGCCATGAGTTGTTAACCCTTAGGATCGGTATTATGGATATTGCATCCTTTCGGCCTTGATTTCATTTTAAATACCGTAAATCTGGGAGAAAATGTGGCTTTTCTGCCTACCCCGGGAGTGAACCCGGACCACAATAAGTTCGTCACCCGGTCACCGCACAATCCGGTTTAGCCAACTACGCTAGAGAGCCGGGCTGTAGAAAGATCTAACCGAGGCTCAAAAACAAAAAGGCAGACCAAGAAAGACCTAGTTACAGAACTTGAATGATTGTACAGGCCATAGGCATGCAACAATGAAATCCATTGCACACTACCTCTGGTAATCTGGTAATCTGGTAATCCTAGTTTCAGCTTCATAGCAAACGGGTCATCCCATAGTTGCTCCGCTCCTGTGCCAACGAAAAACACACGTAGCTCACAGTGTCAGCCATGTACTCAACTCAGAAGCTGGGCGACGAAACTATATCCTTTCAGTCTACAAATGGAGCAAAAATGCAACAGCCACCACCTGACAGAAGTAAAAAAAATCATTTGCCACGGCTAAAAAAAAAAAAAAAAGGAGGGTGCCGTGCCTAGCGTCCATTTTGACCTGAAGCATTATTTGAGGGTTAATAAATGGTCACCCCAGCAGTACCCTCACTATTAGCTGGGGAAGGGACTTAGGACATTACATCCACCAGCAGGCGTCGCCCCTACAACGACCTGACTGCCTTCGTTAACGACTATTCACCCAACAGCCATGCAGTTCGTTGGCACGAAGGAGACACCTTGAACTTGGGTTTCGGAATGCCGACTCCCTACAAGATGTTATTTTATGTTTTATTATCACAATCGACGTCACTGCACATTGGGCATACCCATGCGTGCGCAGTCCTCCGAAGCAGCAGCCACTCTAAAGTACTTCTACTAATTGTCCCCATGGGAAGCTGGTTAAATTGTCTCTTTTTTCGGCCTCGAAGACGGCAAAGACGTGCTTCACCATGCCTAATTCCCATGTCACGCAATCGTGTTAGTGTCAGGGATTCGTCATTATCCACTAGCCCAGTCCGTACAGCGTTGACGGTATCTGCTCTGTCCATGCTTTTTCACGCAATCATTAGTGCAGTGCTTGCCAGTTGGTCTGCTCGCTCATTTCCCTTTACGCCCGCATGACCCGGTGTGTAGATCCAGGTTACGGAGGTTAAGTGCGATTTCCGATTGCTTTCTATCCATTCAGAGCGCACACTGCCTGTTGCTATCTTCTGAAGCATATTCATTGAGTCTGAGACAATTATTGCCTGTGTGGCGGTTTGCTCGGATACACATGCTAAAGTTCTAGAAGCAGCGGCTATTTCCATGGTCATGCTTGACGTGGTTGTCTGGTAAGCGCCGCTGTCCTCATGTATTGTTTCCCCCCCCCCCTTCTTTGCGCTGTGTATGCCCATGCTGACCTTGATCCGCGCTTCACGGATCCATCTGTGTAGATGATGATATCTTCTGGGTCTGAGTGCTAATCTATCAGTTCCCTTACTTTTGTGTACGGACATGTAAAAAGACCTTTTAAAACGATCATTTTACATGAACTCAAAGGTGGATGGAGCTGATCAGACAGTAAACAGCAACTTGTAACCCAACGACATGCAGTGTTATGGAACGATGATGATGAACCAGCTGAATAATCAGACAGCAGCCAAGGATGTCATCGGCGACCGGGTCACCCATTGATTGGTCAGGGCAGTATTTGTTATGTCTCTCTTGATGGTATCAACACTGCAAGTTCTTTTCGGGACTGCTTGATGTCCTGCAATGCTAATAGCCATGTATAGGGCACACAAAACCTAGTAACAAATATAACCAAAATCTCTCCGTTTAGAGATGCTGGTTGAACGTGACGATTTTTTTTTTACACAGAGCCAGCAGCAGCAACATCCAAGGATGTTACAGTTTACAGCTTAAAATGGAGACATTTAGTGGATGATTCACAGAAAATACAAAACAGTCGGCGACCACCCCCACCCCACCCCCTCACCCCGTCTCTCTCCTCTAGTCCGTGGCAACAGCATAATAAATAAATTAACAATAATGACGCATTCCCACAAAGGAGTAGCAGAGGCGTAGCGGCTAGACGCTCCCGTGCGTCTCAAAAGGCCATGGGTTTGCTCCCTGGCGGAGCAATTTCCACAAAAGAAGGCGGCACTGTCGTCTATAAAACATGAATCAAGATTTTTTTGTCCTCATAGATGCCTTTCATACTGAAGGCATTATAGCTAGATCTATGTCCTATGAAGAGTCTGTGCTACGTTTTGAATATGCTAGTTGGATTTCGCTTCTACCATATTAATGATGATACCCAGTAAATTTACTGACATGATTCACTATCGCCATCGAAAGATAATCTAATCTGTTCCTAACTGCAAAGACTGATATTGCAATAAAATCTATAGTCAACTTTAAAAGTCGTACCCAGCTTCAAAAATCTGTACCACAGTAATCGTTCGGTACAAATTCTTGAAATTGGGCATGTATCTTTTGATTATCAATTTTTTTGTGTTGCCTCATTTAAGGTACACACACACACACGCGCACACACGCGCGCACACACACACATACACTCATAAAAACAGACACCGATTCAAAGCATAGCATACAGTTATCATTTTACAGTTAATGGAATGATGCGAATTTTGCAAGAAATCAAACTGCACATGTTTTAGAGGTAATCCATGCAATGCAAACTTTTTTTTTTTTGGAATAGTGAATTGGATACATAATTTTTACATAATTGTAACTCATTCTTAGAGGTTTCACTCCCAGGTAGTCAATTTCCTTCATTAGCCTCCGACGAGTTAAGTTAACACAGTATTTCATTGTATGTGGGATAGGCTATCAAAATAATTACCACGCATCGCTTAACACGGAAAATTATTTTCAAAACAATCTCAACATTTCTGGTGTAAAATAAAACGATTTGAGTTAATTAATGTATATTATATTTTTCATGAGCACACAAATTATTAGTTTGACAAAGATTTTTATTTTTGTGTAGGACACTATTACAGTCTGAGGGCATGAATTTTGGAACGAACTGTAAATGCATTTCCTTTGACCAGTTCTTACATCCATTTGCTGACTAGATTCATAATTAACATCTAGGTTAATAATGCGCTACAAAAAGACACAGGAAAAGGGTGGGGGTGGGAGAGAGACAACAATAGCAAATAAATTTTACCCCACCAGGACATCACACAGAGTCATAAACACCTGATGGCACAAAGTGTCACCATGCGGATAAGAATCAGCCGCGGAGAGGTTCCGGAAACCGCATTGAACCGTTAGGCTATATTACGGCCCCTGTCTGCAAGTGCTGTTTAAGATAACAATAACAACAATGTAATTTACTTTTCCCGTATTTGAAAGTTTATTATGTGCTAAAAAATTATACTCGACTGTCCTGAAACTGTCTTATGTTTGTCAAAAGCGTTGATTTACACAGAGCATGCATTCCACTAGTTGTTCAATTGAATGGCAGATAATTATCTCATTTTATTTCAAGTTAAGTGTAGCTCTAAACTTTGTATTATAGGCAAAGTAAACAAATGTATTAATTGAAGCGTTAAATATTTCAAAATGCATACGAACATAGTTAAGACAAAGAACTAAATAACTGTATCGTTTCCCAAGCCGGAATTCTGGTTCAATGAGGTCACCGGCGCCAGTTAGGATCTTTGGTGTATTACAGATAATGTAAACTAACGAAATCAGAGCCACCTGTTTAACTACACGGATATCTTTGCCAGAAAATTTGCCGGAAGTATCCTGATTTGACTCAATTTTTGCCTTCGCATTTACAACATTTGTGACATACAAAGGTATATGTGAAGCTTGCCTGAACTTCGAAGCCGCCCGGAGTCTGTTGGCCATTATTGCTAGACATGCAAGAACGATGACTTCAGTAACAACGGGTAAAACCATTTGTAATAAGGTAAATACAATATTTTTGACAGAATCTCTGTACGGTGATAGCCAAAGCATTGGCCTGGATATATTGAACTTTGTGTCTAGTCTTTCAACCATTCCCATATTGGCGAGAACCGGGGTATAGATGGCTATTGCTAAAATAGCAAAACCTGTCATGATAACTACCGTTCTTTTGACAGTAAATAAATGTTTAAAGTGTAGCGGCTTGGCCACACACATGCAACGGGCAACTGCTAAAAATGTTGTTGTTAAGGTGTTAGGTACATTAACAAGTATAGCTATGCTAGCAAGAAATATGTATATACCATAAGGTTGAATTGGAAAATGTTTGTAGTAAGCAGTTTCAACTAAACTGAAGGCTGATGAGATGGAGAAACAAAATACGGTAACCACATAGGTCATGTCGAATACAGACAAAGCCAGGAATGACACGGTGACACTGTCTTTAAGTCCCATAGCGATAAACGTTTTTATATTGATTACATTTGATACTATTCCTAACAGTGAAAAAATTATCCACGTAACGCAGAAAAATAATAACACAGTGTTATATTGGCTCTCATCCATGATTCCTTGCATATGAGTACTTTTAATTGTGAAATTATGCATGATATAAATGAGTAGTATGTGCATGTTGCTTCAAATTAGTTCTAGTCTCTCTCTCTCTCTTTTTCTCCCTCTCTTTTTCCTGTAATCTGGTAATTTTCTTTTTAACGTTGGTGTCTCTTGAACATTTTACCATTTATAAGTAGCTTACCCATGTGTGGAGAGAATATAAACTGTTGTTCTTTATGAAAGTGTTAAAATTTTATTTTTTATTTAACAGTAAAAACATTGTTATCTATGTATGAAAAAAAAAAAATAATACAATGGCGTTTATCAATAATTCCTCTAAGTGCAATACTTTTAATTGGGTAAATTGTAATAATATTAATCGGACTCGTATCGTTTTAGAGATAATTGTCCGTCTTGTCTTTGAGTGTTCTAGATTTTTTCCATAATAACAGTTTCTTGTGTGAATTTCAAAAATACTCCAGCACAATACAACATCAGAAAAAAAAAACACCCTCAAAAATACCGTGTGATTTATCTAATAAGTATAATTTTAGTGATGGTGTGTATTATTAGCGAACAGAGAAGTATACATTAGGAGATTTCTAAATTATGTAATTGTACGTTTTCTGTTCAGTAATTACCAACAGCCCACGGCGTTAAGTAAAGGCGTTTCCAATCCCGTGCGTGCTAAAATGGAGAAGCTAAACTTACAAGAGCCCTGAGTATTTTCAGTCACTGGTGAACCGCCTATGGCTATACAAATCAAAAGAAAATAATATAGAAAGCATTTTTGTTTTGTTTTGGTCGATCTACTCTTCACCGCGCTGAAGCATTTCGGCAGCTTAACACGATATTCAACATATTCATCCCGCACACTAGCGTTGTTGTAGCGTTCACCGGCTGTAATCTCTGACATAATTCTTAGTTGTTGTTCGACCACGTCTGAAATTGTGTTGTCTTGTTCAGAGACGAGTAATTCGTGCACACCCATTGTACAGCTCTGGCTGATTGTATTAGAATCTTCGATCCCCGCCTGTCCAGTTCACCATGACATAGGGGGAAACGGGATTCTGTCTACGCAGGCCAAGTGCTCGCTAAAACAAGTCTTTCTAGGATGACACTGGAGAGGTGTACACATGACTTGGCTGGTTGAGAGCTGCCGCTGGCCCACCAACACCACATGCGATGATGAAACCTCTCTACCTCATTCTGAGCTGATTGTTCAGACATCTGCTGTGAAGTATGCACTAAGACATTGCAGAACCAACCCCAGCATTGTTTGGCTGTTGTGGTTTCTCTAAGGCAAACTTAGGTTCAGTAGTTTGCCATTGCTTCCTGGACAGTCGGCTTCTCGATATCACTGTCGAAACCAACGCAAGGCACAAGGCCCGCAGCTGGGATCGAACTCGGCACCCCGGCATTACGAAGCGTGTTCGCTACGCCTAAGGCACAGGCGCAAACGAAGTACTTACTCGAAGTATTAATAATAGAATATAAAACGTAATTTCACGCTGGGAATAATTATTTCAGCATGGCCGCAAAACAGTATATTATACAAAGAATACTCATACTATCACTGTGCTACCAGTGCCAAACGTTGGGCATTTTTCAAAGCTCAAACAAGAACAATGAACACACGTGAGTTGAAATGGCTGAAGAAACCCGCTGACAATTAAACGCACAATTGATTACAAAAAAGTAAGTAAATTAAAAGACATATAATTCCTTGCAAGATTTCTAACATGATGCCCGGCGACTTTATTGTATGTACTAATAAGTGATTGGATGGTTCGGATATAGACATAAATACACACCGAAATGACTTTACTTTCCACGCCACTTCATGGTGCGAAAAGTTTAAGGTTAGGCTGACAGAGCTCATCTGAACTTATATATATATAAATATAAATATAAATATAAATATATATATATATATATATATAAATATATATAATATATATATATATATATATTATATATATATATATATATAAAACAACATTTCTAGCCACTACGCTACAGAAACTTCCAGAAAACTCCGAACCAAATTCATTTAATTTCTAGGAAACATTTGGCAGAATAATTTTGTAAACGTTTAGAGTTGTCTTTAAACAGGAACTAACCATGGCTAGGCAACCTGACAAAACAATTAGACACTTACTTCTTCTTCTTCTTCTTCGCTTCCACCTTGTACCTCATCGAAGTGTCGGGGGGAGATGTAATGTTCGTTGATGAGTTCTGTCAAAAGCACTATTAAGACTGATGTTTATTTCTGTAAGGCTGTTCTTAATGCCATCACTCCATCTTTTCCGAGGTCTTCCACTCGCTTTATACCCGTTGTAACGTTTTAGTGTGGCTCGCTGTGGCATATAGTACCAGGGCATTCTTGTTAGGTGTCCAAACCATTTCATGTGTTGTTTTTGATGACCTTTAGACTGCCTTTATTCCTAGCATTCGTCTGATTTCATGATTTTGTATTCTGTCTTTCCTTGAAACTCCTGCAGCTCTTCTAAGGCATTTCATCTCTGTTGTCACAACCATACGTTCATTGAAGGATGTAAGTGTCCAAATTTGGCACTGATCAGCATAGTATCCCAAAAAATAGTTCTGATAAGATTCACTTTAGTACTCTGATTGTATCTGCTTGTGTGTCAACAGGGGAATAGTTTTTTCCATTACTTGACCCCTTTGGCACATCTTGTAATTCCTAATTTCTCTGTCCATTTTTTCCGTCTGAAGTAAAAATTGCTCCCAAATACTAATTCCTGATTTGTCTCAGGGTGTTGTTTTTCAAAATTTCTATAATTGTCTTTACTGTACTTCCATCATCATTGTCTCTGTCTTCGTGGTGTTAAGGTTTTCATTTTATATTCCTCCCCTTTGTTACTAATTTGATTTAGGTGGTTCTGTAGGCATTCCATATTTTCTGCTATGAGTACTTGGTGGTCGGCGAAAAGTAATTCTGTTATATCTTTTTCCTGATTAAAGTCTGTTTCGCTACATATGGCGTCCATGTATGTTATAAAAAGAAGCGGCGATAGTACACAGCCCTGACGCACACCAGACACTTACCAGATAACAAAATTGGGTTCGAGGTTATGAACAACGGATCAACATCATGGCACACAGTAGTTAACCATAAGTGCTCCGTTCTACTTCTAACTCAAGTCTGAGTCCGAAGAAGCTCAGCACAGTGCACCAGCTCAGTAACACCGGCGAAGATCCTGAAATACTTTGGGTAGGTTTTTAACTCTGAAATTTGCTGGGGCAGCGCCGTTAGGTTACTCTTTTCGATTTCTAACTGCCAAGAGATTCTTTTACATGCGCAACATTGCACACAGGCGTCTGATCTCACTACAAAGAGACCAGGGATAATTACTAGAAGTTCAAGTCCACGTGAAAAAATGCCAACTCTTACCCGGGATTGAACACGGAACCTCTAGCATTCGAGGCGGACATTATACCTCGAGACCACACAGCCTTCTCTGGATATTGCAAAAAATGTGGCGACGATATGATCTAGCTACGGTTGGTGGATCATGCGGGGTTCAATGACCACAATTTAACCCGGCTGGCGCTCTGAGGTCAGACAAGTCTTAAAAGGAAAGGAATAAGAAATGCTATGTTGAGTTCCTTGTTTTTTTTTTTTTTTTAGAGATCATCAGACATGACCATAAGTTTCTCCGATCTCCTCCTGAGCGTTTCCAAGTGTTTTTTTTTTTTTTTTAGGTTAACAACTTCCATTCTTTTCTGGCTTATGTAACGAGGGGTGGCTCCCGCATGGTTTTCCTGTCTCTCGGCTCCAATTGGTAGATCCAGGGTATGTAGCCTATTCAGTGAAAATTCATGTTCCACGAAACTGAAAGCCTCACAGCATTTAATCTCTCGTGTGGTATTGGAGATGTCTCTCCTGTTGAGTAACACATGTCTGCGTGATGTTGACGTCATCGCCCATCCAGTGCTGTTTGGTTTTTGAAAAATTACATCTAGGGCAAAATACTTGATGCGCTGTTGTGTTTTACTCACACGGCAGTGAATTATACACAGTTAGTAAACAAGACAAATTATCTGTCCTATCTGGCACAAGAAATGCGTTTCTACCATACAAGTGATGAAAATTCCTTCCCAGCCAAATTGAGCAATCAAAGTATTCGTACACTTTATTTTTGGTAATCCTTTACCGCAGTTGTTATTAAAAGTATTCTATTTTATCTTGACTGATAACAAGTCTCATCTTTCAATCTGCTTCTTTTAAGTGAGTCAATGTTTATACTATATCTGGTTCATTTTCTCCTTCTGTGTCTATGTTATGAGCATGAGCAAGTATTATTGTTATTTCTCCTGTAACAATCTTCTGTCACCTTCCATATAATTTTCTCGAGGTCCAAGTTGAAAAGAAGAAGTCAGAAGGCGTCGCTTTGCTTTAAACTTTAAAATAATTTTTTTTTTAAAAACAGAATGTGATTTTCTGCCTTTTTGGGGGCAGTTACCCCCCCCCCCCCCCCCAGCCCCCCTCCGCCCACCATCGTGAAAAAAATTCTTAAAAAAAAAAAAAAAGAGCAGGACTCGTAGAGACCTAATCCTAGTTAAAAGCACACAAATAGTAGAAATGCCTTAATGACATGTGTAATCTATGTTTGAAAAAGTAATAAATCTTAAAAACAACTACTTTCTTTTAAAATATTTTTATTGTGGTAGGCTCCTTTTACAATTACGTAAGATTTACCCCCTTTCCTATCTTGGTGGGGGTGGGGGAGCGGGGGTGATTGAGCTGCAACCCCGTGTTTCGGCGCCTGCATGCCCCAATGTTCACATGTATCGACTTGGTTTAGATTTGTTCAGCAAATAATGAAAATCACAATAAGAATTTTTCCAACCCAAAATGCACAAATCACGTGGTCTCTTCTGACTCCATAACCCCGTGGTTTTTAACCTGTGGGGCTAAAGGAAATTTCACTGGAGTCATCAACCAATGTTAATATTGAATATATTTGCTATACTAACAATTGTTTTCTAATTAAAAGCAAAAAAAAAAAAATTTTTTAGAATCAAAA